AGTTTCTGTTAAGAGTTATATATCTTCTTTTTTAGTAATTGGCAGAGTGATATTCTTTGGAAGGTCTGATATAGTTACGTGTTTAGGATGTTCTGGTAATTCAGTATAGATAAAGAAATATGAGTCTGATAATTTTCCCTCGAACCTATATTCTTTTCTCAATGCGCCTAGAATGTCATAGAACAAGATATTGTCTGAGACTGTTGCTCTGTTCCATGGGAGATATTTTCTAATGTCTTCTTTCACGTTGTTATAGTCTTGTGTTAGTTCTGACTTTTTCTTTATCCGTATATAGTTATCCAGAAGTTTTGTAGGTAAGGTATAAAATTTTTGTAATTCTATTTATATTCGTATATTTCTTTCATTTGTTCTTTAGTTTGTATTGGTAATTTTGTTTTACATAAGAGTTTATCTCTTAGGTTGATGAAATTTTGTAGTAATGGTTCTTTTGAACAATAGTATTCAATTGGCAAAAAGTCAAAGTCGTACCATTTGTGCAATACTTGTAATACTTCCATTAAGTATATGTTGTTTCGGAGTGAAAAGTTTACTTTTGGAAGTTCTGCTATTGTTTCTTTATGCAATTTGGTAGGGTCTTCGGGTAAAGGATGTTTGGCTGATTTGAATTTATGGAAGTATTTCACATATTGTCTGGTGAATTGGGTATAGTTAAATTCTGTTTTGTTAAGTCTTTTATATGGTAATAGGATGAAATTGATTGTGTATATTATAAGTTAAGCCATGTCTCTTCCTCCCCAATTTTTTGAGAAATCTATACTATGTAAATAGCACCATATAATTTTCATTCTCAAGTGATCTCGTAATTCACTATGAAGTTGGGGGAAGAGAGTTTCATTGTTAATAATGTTATTTTTGTCTTTGAATTGTTTAATTTTTTTTCCTAATAGTATCAGCCATTTTTTTATGTGGTCTGGGGCATCTTCTAAATTGTTTGGTGGTTTACGAAATATAGCTTTGTCTTTGTTATATTGCGAAAGAAAAACCCTTAGTGCTTCTTTTTCAAAAGGGATCACACTTCTTTCAGAGTTTGTTAAATAGTTTAACAGTATTAAGGCATTTCTGGGTTTAGTCAAATATTGTGTATAATTGTTTATTGTGATTGGTGATAAATTGTGAATAGAACTTTCTAGGTCATTTTTTGGATTTAGATTTTGTGTATCATTAATTATCATATCTGGAAATCTATGATTTGTTATTGATATTATATTTGTGTTGGTTGCATGTTTGTTTTGTGTTTCTTGCATATCAAACCAGTTTTGTGTTTCATAGTCGCATTGTGTAATTGAAGTTCTTTGTTTGTCAGCTGAATTATTTGCCTGCTGATCATTTTTAGGGAGTGAGAGAGTTACACATTTTTTTGGGGGTGCCGAAGAGTTTTCATGAGAAGAATTAGAAGAAGAGTTTAGTGAAATATAGTTTGTATTTTCTAAAATGACCATTCCTTCTATTGAGTTGATAGTATTGATATATAGTTCTTGGTCTTTCTGGTTGAGTATTATGTTGTCCATGCTATTTGTCGCTTGCTTTACACGGTTTTATTATAAGTAAGAAGGAATAAGGTCAAAGGTTTGAGCTACAGCTATAAATTTTCTTGTGTTATAAGAGATATTAATACTATTAAAGGTAACCAGCACTGCGTATTCAAGGTTGTCGATAATGTTTTCTGTGAAGGTGGTTTGTTTTTGTTGTTTATAAGTTGTGAAAAGGAAAAAGGTAGGAAATTCTAGAACTCTTGGAAGTGTAGTAGTTTTTCTAAAAAATGTCATATTTCATAACTTTGTTTGTTTTTTGGTCTTTCAAAAAGAGGACTGCTAAAGCTTTTGATGTTGAAGTATTTCCTTCAGGAGGTTGCACTTCTAAAAAAATTTTTTCATCTCTTGCATCCATAAGATTTTTGAATTTTTTGATTTTTCAATTTTGTCAGATACAGGAGAGAGTTTTTTTTTTATTTTAAGATTTCATTTTTTTTTTTTTTTAACCATCGGAGTCTTGTTAGACACTTTATTAAATAAAACAAATGTTGAATTTATATGTTGTGTTCTAACTATCTACTCTAAACTAAATTATTATTAATTTAATCTAGACGACGAGTTGACCCATTGACGCCCACAAGGTGGGAATTGTTAAGATTTCATTGGTATAAAATAATGTTTTATATGTAACAACTATTGATAATTTTCTTTAAACAGTAAATGATCAACAATAATTTCAATTGTTTTTTAGTCGTGTCTAAGTAAAGTTCTAATTTTACTAGAAAACATAAAATATGGTACTAATAAAAGTTGTAGATTTAGTTTAGATTTACAACTTTTTATAAGATCGTAGGCACTTCCGATAGATAGTTACTGAAATCGAAAGAGATTTCGGTTAAATTTTAATTTAATATTTTTGGTAACTTTTCTTTAAGACAAGATTTTAAAACGAGTAGGCATCCAATTTGAATAAATAAGATATAATACGATAGCCCTTAATTCAGGGATTCTTTTAAAAAAAAGTTTGTGCAATTTAAATTATTCATTGTGCCAGAATTGATCCTTGAAATTTTTAAAAAAATTTGATAAAAAACAGCTGTCCGGATACTTTTGGCAGGCTGGTGTAAGTTACACCCAAAAACATGTTATATTAGCCGATATATTCATACTCTTCACGGATTGCATAATTTATTGGAAGAAATAAAAATTGGAAAATCTGCAGGTACATTTTTAGAACAATTTCAATAATTTTTGGTTTAATAAATGATTAATTACAATTTTTAAAATTTTAAATTTATAGATCCCAATTTAATATGAAGCAAATGAATCAAATGAATCAACAAGTGTCAATACTCATAATATGGGTGAGGAAACAGAAATTCAAAGCAAGAAGAAAAATGTCATTAAACCTTGGATTGGGTTGTGATCCCCCCGAGAAAAATTAAAGAATGAGCTGATTTGGATAGAAGAAAGTTAAAAAAATAATATAAAGAAATAAAATTTCGGGAAGATTTAATTCAAATCTTGTTTTTTTTTTTAATTTATCTTCAGAGTTAATTATCTAAATTATATTTTTGTATGAAAATTCATTTTTATTAAAGATATTTTATTAGTTGATTAATTTAACTAAAAAATGTTTCGAGTGCATTAACATGAATATGTGCTTAAAAATTACTTTGTTAGAATTTTACTTTTATTACTCTGAATTGTGCTTAAAGGAAATATGAATTAATGTTTTACCGACACCATCAGTTATATCACATGAAGCGCATCTTTATGGCTTTGTTGTAGAGAAATTTAGATTATAATGGATATCTGAGTTAAAAATTTAGTCAGTAAAGGAGTCTTGTGATTTTTTCGGCACCATACGAAGAAAAAGGAAAGCAAAATAAGATAAGTGCATTCAAGTTAAGATGTTCTACTTGTATTGGTTTTTTATTTGGCGAAGACAATAAATAAAATTGGATTAAATAACGGACATCTTTATTTATATTAATTTTAATTAATTTATCAACCCAAAAATTCATGTTTTCTTAATCTAAATCAAATTTTTTATTTTAGTAATTTATTCTGGTAAATTCCAAGCAGAAAGGTAAAAAAAAACAAATTCTAATTCGGCTACAATAAGCTTGGAGATATAATAGTATGCTGTCATATCTCTGCAAAGATCTCGGGGATATGAAATAACGCAGAATTTTACATTTTACGTTCATATGCTAATTTGTGATTATTGCCTAAATTAGTATTGGGTTAGTTTTGCGTATAATTGATTGATTAATTTTTTTTTTCCAACTATCCAATTACAGTTACTATTTGCTGGAAGTCTTAAAAAAAATATCATATGTGAGGTAACATCACATGTATTTGGCAAACTTTGCAATGTGAAACGAATATTTATTATATGTAATCATCAATAAATTCGGAATACAAAAAATTTAATTTAATAACGAATATTTCCCATGTCTCAAGAAATAAATTTTATCCAAAATTTAAAAATTAATCTAGTGGGAATGCTAACGTTGATGAGATTATCCAAGAATCTCAGCTATGACGTCTATTGAATATATCTAATAATTTTAACCGATAACGCTACGACGAAACAATACTTTGAATGACACTTTAGTAAGGGTAATGTTATAGTGTACATATATGCTATTTTTTTGTGTAATAGAAATAACTTATTATTTTGCATTCACTACAGTAATTTTATATTTCAATTAATTTTTCCATGGCAATATATAATATTTATGATAAAATATTTTTTTTGACTTCCCCTCGACTTACGCAAAGAGAGCGATTTTCTACTTAATATTTTATAATAGATCGAAAGCCTTTGTTCTTAACTACATGATAATATATTTTTCATCTATGTAGCATCGATGTTCATCGAGATATTCGCGTTTAAAGTCATATATAAATAATAATCATATTTCTGGCAAATATAGAAACAATTAAGTAACACGTATACCTGAAGGTACTTATCCTCTTTTTGTATTCCCGTGCCAAAAAAAAACCAAGCGCTTACTTTGGAAGGCACCTCACATTCTTTAATTAATTAAAATTTTTTCTATTTCAACTCAATAATACTTAGAGAAACAATGTTCAGATACATAATTAAAAAAATCATAATAACAAAGGCCATGTAAAAAATAAATTATATGCTCTTCACGTGATATAACTGATAATGTCGTAAAAAAAACTTAATTCATATTTGATAGAATAATAGAGGAAATTTTATTTCATTAGCCTTTAAGCACAATTCAGCGTAATAAAAGTAGAAAAAAATTCTAACAAAGTAATTTTCAAGCACATAATAATGTTATTGCACTCGAAATATTTTTAAATTAAATAAATCAACTAATAAATCATCTTTAATAATAAATGAATTCTCATACAAAATATAATTTAGAAAATTAACTATGAAAATAAATTAAAAAAGAAAATAAGATTTGAATTGAATTTTCCAGAAATTTTATTTCTTTGTATTATTTTTTTATCCAAATCAACTCATTCTTTAATTTTTTTTGGGATCAAAACCCAATTTAAGGTTGAATGCCATTTTTCTGCTTGCTTTAAATTTCCGCTTTCTCGTCAATATTATTATGAGTGTTGACACATGAAGTAGTTGATTTGTTTTCGTCATAATAAATTAGGATCTATAAATTTAAAATTTTAAAATTTAAAATTTGTAATTGATCTTTTATTAAAATTGAAATTTTCTAAGAATATACCTGTAGATTTTCCAGATTTTATTTCTTCCAATAAATCATGCAATCCATGAAGAGTATGAATATATCGACTTATATAACATGATTGTGGATGTAACTTATTTGAATGTGAAAATAATTCAAGTAATTCTTGCTTTTGAGATTTTGATGTATTTTTTTGATTTTCATCAGCGATTTTAAGTTGTCGCATAGCATTATCATCCACTATATTATAACCAAGTTTTTCTGATACTTCACAAAACAAATCAACTAATTCAACAGCAATAGGGCGCTCAGAAGGATCATCACTCCAACATCGATACATCAAGTTTAAATACCATTCTGGAATCCAATTTAACATAAAATCTGGGACCTTTGGTCTTACACCATTACATATATCAATCATCAAATAAGTATCATGTGCTTGGTCAGCAAATGGTCGTTGTGCAGCAATTATTTCATACATAATACTACCAAAACTATAAATATCACCCTCCCTTGTGAATTCATTTCCTCTTAAAACCTCAGGCGGAATATATGGAATTGATCCATAAGTTGTATTATTTTTGTTGAAAGAGTTTAAATTTGAATTGCTTTCTAATTTACATGAACTTAAATCTATTCCCATGTCAGAATCGCTAAGATCGAAATTATAGTTTATCAAATTATTTCCACTATGAAGGTTACAATGAATTAAATTTTTTTCATTTAAGCTATTAAGATCAAATACTATTGAAAATAATATGTCTAATTTTGTTTTCAAACTTAAATCCCAAAATGTTTCGGTTAAAAAATTATGTAAGTTATCGTCAAATAAATCCATAACTGTAATATAGTTTTGTGTAGAAGGATTTTTTGAAATTCCATAATAATAAGCAATAGGTCCACGTTCATATTTATTGGTGGTCTTCATCTTAATATAAAAATATTAGAAGATAAATTAATAAATTACGAAATATTAATAATAACTTAACTAAATAAAAGAAACATACCATTTTAAGAAATTCAACCATATCAAATCTAGAATCTTTTATTTCTTTCAAAGCAACTTTATGACCTATTAAATCATATTCCCAATCTTGTTGGATAAAATTCCAATTCCATTTTATTCCATTTTCTAATTTGGCAGAATACACTGATCCATGACCCCCATCTGCTATGTGTTCGATATTTTGAAAATTATCATAAGGTATCCATTGTAGACCATGCCTTTTGTTTATTTGAGAATCTTGTATAATCCCGTCAATGTTAGCATTCCCACTAGACCAAGTTTTAAATTCTTGGATAAAGTGTTCTTTAGCACATAAATCACATCTTGCATCTAAACGAATGTAATTTCTGCGATCAGAATAAGCGAAATCCTCAGAAGAATGACCTGTTGGACAATACTTAATTTTTCTTTTTTTTGAGACATGGGAAACAAAAGAAATATTCGTAGTGAATATTTTTAACTTATAATTTATTGCCAATAATCATTGCCTTTTCTGGTTATATTTATTTGTGTTCAGATCCGACCAATATTTTCTTTATTTATATCAATCAATAATAAATAATATATGTTCCCATTTTTATTTGTGAAAAAAATTGATTTTTTTCTATTTCAACTCAAATATTAAGTATTATTGGGTTCAGGCAATTAAGCTTTATAAAAAATAAAAAAAATAAACATATTCGCTTCGCGTGATATAACTTGAAAGATTATATAATATACATAACATAATAGAATAATAGAAGAAATTGTATTTCGTTAACCTATAGTAATTTAGAGTAATTGAGCAGTGAAATTCTTTCAAAGTAATTTTTATAAGCATATAATGACATTTATTGGAGAAATAAATAGGAATAAACTGATAAGTATGCTAAATTCAGTCTAAATAAAATTTGCACTCTCGAAATTTTTTAAAAATAAATAAATAAATGAATTTATCTTTGTCAATAAATTCTCTCATATAAAATATAATTTAGAAAATTTTAATAATATTTTATTATTTTTTTTTTTGAATTTTCCATTTTTTTTTGTTAATCATCTTACGATCCTAAAAATCAAGTACCCCAAATAAATTCTAATTCTTTATATGCTAGAGATCATTGAATTTAAGAATCTAGTGAGTAGAAAGTAGGAGCAAAATCTATTATTCCTTACCCTCATATTTTACATGCTTGGACGACCTAACTGTCGAAAAGTATAAATTTTACGAGGTAAATTTCAATATTATAAAAATAATTAGTTGCCGAGTTTAAGGATTAAGAACAATGTGAGGGGAGGAGACAATTAATAAAAAATGATGACGAAAATGGTATGAACAAACCTTACAAATTGAGGTTAAACTACTTGTGGAAATATCAACTTAATTATTATTCGAATATTACTGATGATTTTTAATTATATATGATTTCTTTTTAAAAAATGAAAAGGTTTGGATTCCAATTGAATGGTCTAACAATCCACTTAAATCCTAATGTAATGCACTCTCATCGTAAATTAAAGGAAAATTTAATTCCTCCGAGCTGGAGAGAGAGAAAGTTGAACGAGTGAAACATGAACACACGAGGTTCATGGTGGATGAGATATTTTTAATATTCTTAGCTTTTATAAATACTTCAATTATTTATTAATTTATTATTTTAAATTATCACGAACGACAGAGAATTCAAACCAGAGTATAGTCTGTTAATATGTTTTCGAATAAAAACTCTGCAAACCATAGAACAGCCAGTTATTAATAACGGAAAGTCTAATAAGTTCAATTAAAAGATTCTATAATTACATAATAATTATTCACAAAATCCGTCCTCCAAAGTTATTCAATTTTCATTTTAATCATTTGAATTCGAATTCAAATAATTAAATTATTAAAATTGATTCTTATCTCGGACCTTATCACAGAAGCTACGATTACGGAATCCCAAATAATTCGAAATCCTAATCATTACTCAAAATGAAATCTCAATGCCTCCATCACAATTCCTCCTCCACGCAGAATAACTCACGAATATCATCACAAGTCTAACAGTCAATAACCTTCTTTGTTACATGTTCCAACTCAAAATCAAATAACATAATACATTTCTTTGCAATCTAATAATAACTACAATAACCACCAAACTCAATATCAACAATCTATGCAATTTCAACAACATCAGCGAATGGGCATCATCACGTCACAAAAACTTAATAATAACTCATCTCGGATGATTCGTAATTCTGCTTATTTGACTCAGATACTACAACTTCAACATCATCAACAACGAATTCGACAGCAACAGCAACAGCAAATATATAATCTGCTGCTGCTTATGTACGAATAAATACTGGGATTATTCCATCACGAACGGTTAATCATGTAATCAATGTTTCAATTTGATTCAATATCATAACAATTCTTTAATCAATAATAGATTCATAATTATGAAATTAATGTTTCAATTTAATTCAATATCATATAACAATTCTTTAATCAATAATAAACTAATCAATACAAATTATATTGCAGTGAGTGAGTATTTTGATTCATAATTATTGAAACCAATGTTTCAATTTAATTCAATATCATATAACAATTCTCTAATCAATAATAAACTAATCAATATAAATAGTCGGTGAGTATTTAGATTCATAATTATTGAAATCAATGTTTCAATTTAATTCAGTATCATATAACAATTCTCTAATTAATAATAAACTAATCAATATAAATAGTCGGTGAGTATTTAGATTCATAATTGTTGAAATCAATGTTTCAATTTAATTCAATATCATATAACAATTCTCTAATCAATAATAAACTAATCAATATAAATAGCATGTGAGTATTTAGATTCATAATTATTGAAATCAATGTTTCAATTTAATTCAATATCATATAACAATTCTTTATTCAATAATAAACTAATCAATATAAATAGTTTGTGAGTATTTAGATTCATAATTATTGAAATCAATGTTTCAATTTAATTCAATATCATAT